CCCCAGTATCCCACCACCCAGAAAAAAAATCCCTTTGATTTTTATTTATTTTTAGTTTTTGAGACGGAGTCTCATTCCGTCGCCAGGCTGGAGTGCAGTGGCACGATCTTGGCTCACTGCAATCTCTGGCTCCCTGGTTCAAGTGATTCTCCTGCCTCAGCCTCCCGAGTAGCTGGGACTACAGGCGTGCACCACCACGCGCAGCTAATTTTTGTATGTTTTTTAGTAGAGATGGGGTTTCACTGCACTTGGCCTGATTTTCACATAGTTTTTATAGAGGACCAAACACTTTATTATCATTGTGAACTTTGGTTTACTTTCTTAATAAATAGCACTTGTGCTTAAGTCTTGAATTGTTTACCTAATAAAAATGAGAGCTATAATTAAGAGAGCATAAAAACAAGCTAGGATATTATAGGTAGAATTACTCCAGACACACGTATAGCCATATCATTTAAAGTGTTGAGGAGAGCCAAAATTTAAACTCTACACTGATGACAGGCAGAATGTTAAAAATAGAACCAAATATAATTCCCCCAACTTAGGTAACGAACTTCCTAACACATATCCTAATCATTTATATTAGTAACAAGAAAAGGTGGTGTTTATAACTTATATATCAATTTGGAGCTGCAAATATTAAAAAATGAAGCAAATTATATGACGATGAAGCCCAAAATGTAGGTATCACTAGGAAAATCTGGGCCTGTTTTATGCGCAAAGTGAAGAGATGACCTTCAAAAAAGAAATAGAATATATTATTTCTAACAAGATAACATTATTTAAAAAATATTTGAATATGTGTAACTGCTTTCATGCCCTTGGCAAAAAATGTAAATACAATGTAGGGAAATCAAATTGATTTTATTGCCATCTATGAGACAAATCTCAACCTTACCAACATTAACTATCCTAGATTAGATACCAAATACAAGAAAATACAAGATTTAAGATTCAAATTAACTCTAAGTCTTAAATTGAGACTTAGAATTGGCTGAAAGTTCACACACTGAGTCACTATATGCTCATTTAATCAGCCACCAGTTTCTGAGCATGTAGAAGTGGTAATAGCAAATCTTTTCCAAGTGATCTCATATATTTAGATGTTTTCTATTACCTACATCTATAAAACAAAATAAGAAGATAATCATTCAGGAAACAAATTGCTCACACAAGCAAGTAAACCGCAAGAGACCTTGTCAAACTTTAACCACTATTTACTATTGAATTGTCAATGACAGTTGGTGCCTCACATTCAACATTATACTTCATGGAATGTGTCCCTGTCTTTTGATAAGTGAAAAAGTAGTCATTAAGCACAAAGAAACAATCAACTCACCAACAGGGTGCTGCTCTGAATCTTAACAGGAAGAATTAAAATAAACACTCAAGTGGAAAATTTCACAAGATAAAAGGAAGAGTGCCATCTTCTGTTCTCCAAAGGGATGCTGGATTCATTTGAAAAAAAAAAAAAAGAGAGAGAGAGAGAGAGAAGAATAAAGAAATAAGAGGAAAGAAAAAGAAAATAACCAAGTCTTGAGCTCCAGCTGAGATACTATGGGAGTTATCTGAAATATTCCAAAAGAAAGAGGTTTCTGCTTTAGAAAAGTCATCCCCAAATCCTGAAAAAATATTTATCTAGTAAAAGAAAAGTGATAACTGCCTTTCTTATACAAGTAACATGATTCCATGTAACCCTATTTTTCTATAAATAAAATACAACAGGACAATGTCTTTCTTTCCAGATCAGACAGTAGGAGACACCATTAAAATGGTCTGCAACACCACTACATCACAGGTAAAATTTCTACTTTATAAGATTTCCTCTTCCTTAAGTTATCTGCTTTTTTCTTTATTTGTGTGTTATTTTTTAATCAAGAAACATTGAATCCTATGAATAATAGATACTACATTTTCTGGAGTTCAAACTGATTCTTCAATTAAACACTGATGCTTATGATCAGAGCAAGTATATTTATCGTTATACTATGTAACCTGAAAGGGAAAAAAATGCTTTACAGTGATTGTAATGAACCACTAAAAAACATTTCTTACACAGAAAAACACTCTTTTAAATATAGCTTTCTTAGTCTGTGTAATCATCAAAGTCATGAATGGGTTTTTTTACAAAAAGCTTTGGAAAGAATTAGGTTGCTCTTTTGAAAATAAAACTTTGAATTTATGATATATGTGATATAATTACATTTGACCACAAAAAAGTAAAGTGTATGTTTACATCACCTGTATTTAATTACCCATACTCTCCCTTTAGCTGTGTACTACTGTCTAGAAGTAATAAACCATCATCTATAATTTTTAGCATTATTATGTCTCAGTCTGTACTCAGATATCATTAATATTCATACCAGTATATCCATTGGCCATTGCCTATGCTCTGCTCTATTGAAGTCCAGTGATCAAAATAACAAAGAACTGTGTGTTCACTGAAAGCAGAAAATATTGGAATGCACTGCAGGTCAGAGAAGAGCAAAAAGAGAGAAATAAAATTTTCAGTTTTGTTTGCACTTATCATTGCAGAATGTGTATTTCTTCATGCACAGAGGATCATTCCAGGTCATGTTTTTAAGGGAATATTAATGTAAAAAGAAAGATATTGGCGAATTAGGGGATATCACAAATTCAAAGGCAAATGTTAAATAGTTTGTGGTTGCTTTCTTACGGAGGCAGCTACTTCCATTCCCTTTGCAAAGTGGAATTCCTACATCAAACACACTAAGATCTCTTTCTTAACTAAACCATGATTCTAGGTTTTAAAAAACTTAGCTTCAACACTGTTCAAAGATTCCTAGTCTCGGTTCATGACAGCAAAAAGAACCAGAGAACTCAAGTGTGTAAAATGTATTTAACATAATTTCTATAACTTCGACACCATGTAGCATCTTAACATAATAACCCTGGCTTCATTTAAACATAGGGTTTATCTCCCTGTGCCCCCCTACTTATAAAGTATAAAACATTTGAAAGAAAAAAATATGAACTTTATTTAAGATATATACCCAAAGAGGATGAGAGAAGGCAACAGCAAAAAGAGAAGATAATTTTGAAAGCTATAAAGCTGAAGGACATGGAAAAATCTAAAATGCCCAACAATAACATAATTTTTTTAAACTGTAGTCTAATCAAGCTATGGCATTCTCACAGCAATGAAATGGATGAAATGGATTGCAGCCACTCACAACAGCATAGATGAACCTAATGATCATAATATTCAGCAAAGAAGCAAGACCTGAATGATTATGTATAATCTATTTCCAGTGATGTCAAGCTCAAAAAGGAGGCAAAACTAAAATATATTGCTTAGAGAGGCATTCATAGGTGGTAAAAAATACAAATGAAAGCAAGAAAGTTATTAACGAAAACATCAGGAGAGTGGTTGTTTTCAAAGGAGAGGGAAGTGAAATCAACGGAATGTATTTAAGGACTTTGTTAGAGGCAGTAATGTATTATTTATTGACTCAGATGGTGGTTAAACTGCTGTCACTTTAACGTTATTTGTTATGCTACACATGTATGCTTTATGCTCCTTTTTATATGCATGTTCTATATCCTTATGTAAGGGCTAAAAGCAAAGGAGACAGATAAATGCAACAAACCAAAGCAAGCTGAAAGCTTATGACTGAGGGACAGAGAAAAGAGAAATGCTGAAAAGCAAGATTATTCTTAAGTGCATAACTCCAGAAATATTCAGGAGTTGACTATTTCTCATTTACCTTTTATTAATAAACTACTAGAGGATATGTTCTGCCAACACAGGGGAAAAGAGTGAGAAGCACATGGATTCAAGTCATGGACACAGGGAGGGGAACAACACACACTGGAGTCTGCCGGAGGTGGGGGCCAGAGGGGTGGTGGAAGGGGCAGCATCAGGATAAATAGCTAATGCATGTGGGGCTCAACACCTAGGTGACGGGTTGATTGATAGGTAGAGCAAACCACCATGCCACACATTTACCTATGAAACCAACTCACATATCCTGCACATGTATTCTGGAACTTAAATTAAAATTAATAAAAATAAAAATAAAAAACACCTCCAAGGAAAGGTGAATAAATAAAATTCAATGTGTTGGAAGGGCTTAAGAGGGATATTTCAGGCAGAGACATTAGGAAAATAAGAATCTTGGCAATAAATATTTCAAAAGCAAAGCAAAAAATACTACAAGGTATTGATACTCATATTTCTTATACAAAGGAACAGAATGAATACAGATAAGTCAAAAAGAAACCAAATGAAGAAACTGAGCACAGCTCCAAAATGTTTGAAATGTCCCTAAAAATATAAACACTGAATTTAGATGTAATCAATGAAATAACTCTAACAGAAAAATTGAGAAGAGGAAATGAAAGGAAATTAAATTCTTGTCTCCTATAGTATGAAGCGCACGAAAATAGCTGTTTTGCTTTCCTTTTGCTTTAAAACAAATTACCACAAATTGAGTAGTTTCATTAACACAAATTTAGTTTTTTATAATTCTAGAGGTCAGAAGTACAAACCTTCAACCAAGGTGTGCTGCAGGGCTGTGCTCTTTTCCGAAGGTTGTAGGGAAAATTCTTTCCTTGCTTTTTTCAGCTTCTAAAGCCTGCTCCCATCCCTTAGCTCACTGCCCCTTCCTCTAGCTTCAAAGCCAGCAACAACCAGGTGAGTCTTTCTCACAGCATATCACTTTGACACTGATTTCTCTGCCTGCCCCTTCCACATTTAAGAGAACCTTGTGATTACATGAGGCCCACCTGGGTAATTTAAAATAATCTCTTTAAGGCCTGCTGATTAGCAACTGCAATTCCATCTGCTAACTTAATTCCCGCTTGTCATGGAACATGTGGAAATTCACAGTTTCCAGTGATTAGGATGATTTGGGGCTCACTATTCTGCCTATTATGACATGTAAAACTGAAAATCAAAGGTGTTATTTTGAGGCCACACACTGTAGCTTACACCTGTAATCCCAGTACTTTGGGAGGCCAAGATGAGTGTATTACTTGAGGTCATGAGTTTGAGACCAGCCTGGCCAACATGGTGAAACCCCATCTCTACTAAAAATACAAAAATTAGCTGGCATGGTGGCATGCACCTGTAAGTCACAGCTACTTGTGAGGCTCAGGTGGGAGAATCACTTGAACCCAAGAGGCAGAGATTTCAGCGTGCCAAGAGATGGGAATTGTTTTGAAACAAAGATGTAAATAACAAAAGAATTAGCTGAAAATGGTTGCATCTACAGAGTCTGGGAAATGAGGAGAGGGGTAGCAGGGGACTATTGTATTTCATCCTAAAATTTGTAGAACTATTTGATTTTTTAAATATTTATAGAAGTTACTTTCATAAGACAAAAAATAAGTAATTATTTTGAAGCACTGCTCTCTTTCCTTCTATTTTTAGTACCCTTCAGCAGGATCCACAAAATAGGCTTCTGAAGTCATTTTCACAGATAAGAGTTTTTTTTTTTTTTTTAATAGCTTTTGAGGTACAAGTGGGTTTTGGTTACATGGATGAAAGTATAGTGGTGAAGTCTGAGATTTTACTGTACCCATCACCCGAGTAGTGTACATTATACTCAATGTGTAGTTTTCTATCCTTCAACTGCCTCCCACCTTCCCCACTTCTGAGTCTCCAATGTCCATTATACCACTCTGTATGTTTTTGCATGCCCATAGCTTAGCTCCTGCTTTTAAGTAAGAACATACAGTATTTGATTTTCCATTTCTGAGTGACTTCACTTAGAATAATGGCTTCCAGCACGACCCAAGTAACTGCAAAAGACACTATTTTTTCTTTTTTTGTTGTTGTATTATGCTGTCCTTTTAAATTTTAATAAAATAGATTAATTTCATATTACATAGAGAGCAAGTCCATCCACTCATCCAAGATAAAATTTTAGAAATATTTTTTATAAAATGTTTAGTATTTGACTGGAAATGAATCCAGTATAACATGACTTCTACAGATACAGCATTTTCATCCTCACTCCCATTCCTATTGAGAAATTTTAAAAATACAGAAAAGTACAAAAAATAAGACAAGATATCCATATACCACAATCCAGAATCAATGAGAATCTTCTTATATTTACTTGAAGTCCTTTTAAAGAGAAGTGGATTTTTATATAAAAAGCTCAAGTCCCCTTTAACCGATACCCACCCCACCTCCCATACTCATTACTTTCCCTCCTCCACTCTCCACTCTTCACCGAGTGGACATTTTGGTCTTTGTCCGTGGAGGAAGCCTGAGAAAATGATGAGCAGATAAAGAGGCACCAAAACTTGGGAGGCAAGTTGATCCATCTCCAGTAAAGACTGAGGAAAAGAGCAAGCAAAGACTGAGGAAAAGAAAGACAAATACTTCCTCTGCTCTCAGACCTTCTTTCTTTGAAGGCCACCCCTTTTTGAAGTTTGGAGTTTGAAACACAACCTGGACTGAAGTCATGAGGGAGGCTGTGTAAGAAAGAATCATCAAGGGAATTAGTTGGGAACTTCTCTGCCACAGCTTGCTTCTTATGGTATTAACCCCCTTTCAGTGTAAATGCCTTTGGTTTAAAACGTTTGTACCTCATCTGATACCAGAGTGTTCATACTGGAGAGAAACCCTATGAATTTTCTGAACGTGGGGGATCTTTTACTCACATGTCACATCTCATTGAACGTAGAAGTCATGCTGAAGAGAAACCCTGTGCTTCTAAGGAATATTGACAAGCCCTTAGCTAGATGACAAATCTCATTGAGAAGCAGAAGATTCATGCTGGTGAGAAACCAGTGAAGGTGAAAGTAGCAATGCTTCATTGAATATTAGAAAATTTTTCTGGAGAGAGAGCATTGAATGTACTGAGTATGATAAAAACTTCCTCTCAAACCTTATCCCTTGATATGCATTTGGGTGATCATACACAGAGAAGCCTTATAAATGTAAGAGATGTGGAAATCTCTTAAGCCAAAAGTAAATCCTCATTCATCAAACAATTTCTATTGGAAAGAAACCTTGTGAATGTGGGCAAGCTTCCATTCAGATGTCACAGCTCAGCCAGCAGAGAATTTACAGTGGGGAAAACCACTATTTTTTCTTTTTATGGCTGAGTAGTATTCCATGGTGTATGTATACCACATTTTCTTGGTCGTATGTATACCACATTTCTTAGGTTGGTTACATGTCTTTGCAGTTGTGAATTGTGCTGTGATGAACATACATGTGTATGTTCTTTTTGAACATTGGCTTCTTTTCCTTTAGGTAGAGGCCCAGTATTAGGATCCTAGATTGAATGGTAGATCTACTTTCAATCCTTCAAGAAATGTCTATACTATTTTCCGTAGAGATTGTACTAATTTACAATCCTACCAATGGTGTATGAGTTCCCTTTTCACCACATTCATGGCAACATTTATTGTTTTTTGACTTTTTATTAATAGCCATTCTGGCTAGGGTAAGATGGTATCTCATTGAGGTTTTAATTTATAACAAATAAGAGATTTGAGTGTGAAGATTTTGATTTGCAAGATGCATGTTTTTGACAGAAAAAAGCCCCTTGAGTCTGAGGGGAAGGTACAGAAGGAAGCTTGGCACCGGTGTGTTTTTTTCATTCAAACAGTCTAGCAAGAGCATGAGGATGAACTAAATGAGCATCTCTCCAAGAGGCCAGATGACAGTCTTTCTAGCTGGGAGAAGAAAAGGGAGTTAGATTGGTCGTGAAACCTACTACAAAGCCAGTAATTCTGGTGAGGTGGAAGGAGCCAGTAGGTAGGAAGAAGGAATTCAGCAGTAAGACACTGCCAGACCCACCTATGGCCAGTATCAAGAAATTTGTGCAAGCTGAAGCAAAGCCACCACTTGTCCATCACTTGTTCTGTGATAAAGAGACATCTTAACTTTCTAGTTCATGGCTGGTGAGTGCCTTCCATCCATGCCCTTGGATCAGCCAGAAGTGACATGAATAATTGCACCATTATTTTTCTGCACTTTATGAACTGCCCCAAGGTGACACTCCTCAGGACAGTCATACGTCCCCTCAACTAGACAGTGCTGAATTATCCATATTACACTACTGCTGCCTTTGGAAAGTAATTTTTCATAGCTTGTTTCACACGTGTATACTTCAGACAATCACACTTATCCTCTATCGCAGGGTGTGTCATAGTTATACAATGGTCTGGTTCCTTTATTATCTATATCCCTTGCTATACTATGAAATCCTGGATATCATAATACATGGCTTTCATCTCTATATTCTCAGAAATTACAAAGGTCCTGATGCAGGAGGTACTTAATACATGATCACATAATGAATAAATGCTTAGAATGTTCCCATCTAAAAATTGTCCTAAAATTGATACACTAAATGGTTTGAAATTTCTTTTTATACAAAAAATAAATCAGCAAGGCCAGCAGTGCTGGTTCACATCTATAATCTCAGCACTTTGGGAGGCCAAGGCGGGCAGATCACTTGAGGTCAGGAGCTTGAGGCCAGCCTGGGCAATATAATAAAACTTCGTCTCTGCTAAAAATACAAAACAGCCAGGCATGGTGGCACACGCCTGTAGTCCCAGGTACTTGGGAGGCTGAGGTGGGAGAATCGCTTGAACCCAAGAAGCAGAAGCTGCAGTGAGCCGAGATCATGCCACTGCACTCCAGCCTGGGCAACACAGCGAGACCCTATCTCAAACAATCAATCAATCAGTAAAAAGCTGCATTAGCAGGAAATAAAGCAAGAGAATATTAATTTAGTCTAAATGGCTATGACAAAATGACCTCAAAAAATATTGAAATTGATTTTCAGATTTAATCTCTTCTCTTTTAGAGATGTGTACTACAGTTATTGCTCAGAAGTCAGACAGATGTAAGTTTAGATTTTGCCTTTGACACATGCTATCAATGTGACATTGAGTTAATTATTTTGTTGTGTGATATTATTTGCTCTTTTAAATATGAGTGAAATAATACTGATTGCATAGGACGACATATTAGTGAGATGCTATATGTGAATAACAGTGCCAAGATTAAATGTATATATGCAGTAGCAAAATGTGTTATATGAGATTATATGATAATGCAGATGACTGAGGAACTTTGTATTAACCAGCAACTTATATCTTCAATATTTGTAAAACCACCCCTAATTATATGAAGAAATGGTTTATTAAACACATATTATTCTATTTATTGAAAACACACTTTTTTCATTAGAATTGAAACATATTTTATATGCATTTCATTGGAATTGAACGTATTTTATATGTATTGTTTCATTCAAAGAAAACTGTTTAATAATTTCCTTTAAATTTAATAGTGTATTACATTTTTATAGAAGAAACTTACAATATAATTAATACAAGAAAGCTCGGAAATAGAAATTATGGTTACCATCCCAAAGTCTAAGAAAAATAAAAGGAACATTCAAAGATAAAATTGGAAAAATAAAAATTTTAAAGCAACATTAAATATTCAAGATCGGTTTCAGTATCAAAAAATTATGTCTTTTCTAGCCATTTTGTCCAAATGAGTTTGCGTATATAGAATATTAATTTATCCTCCAATTTGGTTCAAGTGGGATTACAATAGACATAAAATGAAAGCAAGTATACTAAATACACAAAGCCAAAACAATTTAATAAATATTATGGAATAACTGACTGCATAACCATCAACATCCGCTAAAAGAAACCCTCTCCACCAGCTGTAAATATACAGCCATACAAGACTATCTGCATAGATTGTATCTTTAAAATGATTCTAATATTTGAAGAAGGAAACTGTATCCAATAGCATTATTAAAATACTGCACAATTTTCAAAGAATATACAGTATATATAAATTATGGATGTTGACTTTGTCAAGCTTAAAATTCTTCAATATCTCCAATGCTTAGACACCCATAACCAGTGCCATTTTCAGGCGATGTGCAGTTCCTAACAGCATAATTTTAATTTCCTTTTACCTGCCTCAATACATAGAACATCAAAAACCTTCCTGTTCCCAGGCCTTCCATTTGTCCAAAACTTCTTGTAAGGCTAATTGCAGGTTTAACTCTGCCATGCCCTGTGCTAAGCCAAAATCGTCTTCACAACAAAGTTGATGTCAAAGGGAATAAAACTGAGGTTTAAATAACTTGCCTAATGTTCAGACAGTTGCTAAGTGATCATCGCACTCAGGCTTATAAGCTGAAACTCACAATCACCGCACTTCGCAGTTGTCAAATCGTTTCTTAGCATTAGAACAAAAGCTCATTCAGAAATTCAATAAATACAGTGAATAAACTTAGACCAAACCTGTTCGGTTGGGTTAAGGTAAAGTGTTGATGATTTAAAGTTACTCCTTTAGACGACTCTCACCCCTTTAGGAGGAACTCAAAAAAGACTAGATTAAAAATCATTACTCTCAATCATTCCTTCACCCAAAATGTACCTTCTTGAACCAGCTAGTTCTCAGAGGCATCAATTTGAAAGCCGTTTGAGACAGAGTCTTGCTGTGTCGCCAGGCTCCAGACTGGAGTGCAGTGGCACGATCTCGGCTCACCGCAACCTCCGCCTCCTGGGTTCAAGCAATTCTCCTGCCTCAGCCTCTCGAGTAACTGGGACTACAGGCGCGGGCCACCAGGACCAGCTAATTTTTGTATTTCTTTAGTAGAGACGGTGTTTCACCACGTTGGCCAGGATGGTCGCAATCTCTTGACTTTGTGATCTGCCGGCCTTGGCCTTCCAAGGTGCTGGGATTACAGGCGCGAGCCACCGCGCCCGGCAAAAACCATGATTTCTTCAATGAGACATGTAGCAAATGCCTCTTGGACCTTGTCACATTCCCCTTTAACCCACAATTGTAGTATAGAGTCCACAGCCTATCACTTCCAGGTTCCTACCATGCACCAGAAACTTCTCCACTGAAGGGAGCAAAAAAAAAAACAAACAAACAAAAAAAAAAAAAAAAAAAAAAAAACCTCCTGCAAGCAAACCCCAGAAGGAGCACAGAGTTAATGAACACAGGGCAAACTTCAAGCATCAGAGGACAGGGCTGGATAGGCAAATGTTCAGTCCTGTTTCCCAGACAGACATATGGGGCAAGCCCCTGTGGCCCGAGCTAGCAATCTCCATAATGCAACATATACTAGCTTTCCCACTCTCTCCACTCCCCCACACTCGAATGCTGGTATCACCTCACAAATAAACTGCCTCACCTAAGTTCTTGCCTCTAGCTCTGCTTTCAGGGGACTCAAAATGCATATGATGTGCCAAAGGCTATGGAGTACCCTTAGAACCAAAGGAATCTGTACCCTAACAGAAATGTTAGGAAGAGAAGTAGCAGCTCTTTGGAGCCCCAATATCATTCTTAATATCCTTCCCACCTCTAGCTTTTTTATCTGCCTCACTAATTATACCACTTCTCCCCCAGTCAGAAACTGCAGGTGGATTATAATACAGAAATTTTCATTGATGGCTAAGTAGTATGTTATCATATCCACAAAACAAAAGTAATAGTGCTACATTATGATATTGTTCTATTGTAACATAAGAAATCTATAAAAATAAAACAAGAATATTCTTTTGCAGTTCTAAGTATTCAATAGATACAGGGACGTTTGCAAAGTACTGCTTAGTCTAGAATCTAGAAATCTCTGAAGCAGAGAAATGCCCTGAAACCTGAGTCAGCTTTCAGGTCCAGGTTCCTCAGGTTCAGGTTCCTCAGGCCACCAATGCTACATGCTCCCACTTCCACCTGTAATTTAGTAGAATGCTTCTTGGTCAATATCTTATTTAATTTTATGAGATAGGACATATAAGTCAATAAATACAACTTATGCCAAATTTTAAATCAGTAGTAATGAAAAATATATATTCCTACAGAAACTGGTCAAAGTAAAATAAATTGGGCTGACAGAGTCAAGCAAAACTCCTGAAAGGAAATAAGACCACACACC